CTAAAAGCACAAGAATGATAAGGTTACAGCTTTTGATTCCTATGCCTGGAACCAGCCTGTCCCAGAAGAGCTCAGATCAGTGCTTTCATATAAATTCTGCTCACTGTATCTAGAATTTGGGGAGAATATCTATCTAGAATTTGGGGAGAATTTGAGAGTTTAACTCGGAGAAGTCTCCATTGTACATATCAGAACGGGGGTCTTGGTGGGGTTTATTTAGTGGCTTGTAAATTGACTATACTTGAAAACAGATTTTCACAGCAACAGAAAAACAGGTGTTCTTGACATAACTGTTACCCTCCTGAAAAAAGAAAGTTCCTGCTTCAAAGCCCAGAGTCTTCAGCACTTTCCTATGGCAAGTTTGCTAAGATGGCTGAACTATCTCAACTGTTTTGGCTGGAGGTTTTCTCAAAACCTTCATGCTAAGGCACACACCCACACTGGAAAATATCAGCCTGAAGTCAGTTTGCCAAAATACGAGCATCTGAAAGCAGGACTTCATGATAGGAATTGTCAGGCAACCATAAAGGTAAGTCCTAACACCAGCACTGTTAGTAAAAAAGGGATACAGACTGATGGATTCAGCATGAAAGGTTAGTTGACAGGCAGAGAAAATAGATGTAAAGTATCTGTGTATATTTGATGTATAAGAACAACTGATACCACAGATAAGCAATCATCAATATTTTCTAACTGCACCTCGATCTCAAAATTATTTTTCCCTCTAGAATAAATTCTTTGCTCTAGACGTCCAGAAGAGGTTTAGTTCTGTTCCTAGCGTTAAATCTTCCATTTGGAAGGATGCAGACATTTCAGCTGCCAGCATTACAGATGGCTACCTTTCTATGCCCTTGCTAAAAAACCTAACAAAACTCCGTTTAACCAATTTGACACCTAGGTTTACCTTGTTTGAACTCAATAAGCAGTCTGAACCTGGTAATAATCTGATGTCTGCTCAGACAGGCTCATTCTGTTCTCCTAAATCTAATCTGTGTTAGATCTCCCCTCTATCAGAAAAATTCAATCTAGGGACTATATGTAGAAGTCTAATTTACTTCACCAAATACATTTAATCAATTCCACCCTACTATTTTCCTTTTGCTCAATGTTTGATTACTTTTATGTCACCTATTAGATGCAAACTGCTGTTTTTTACAATAAGTGGGTGATCTGACAAGGACAATTTCATGTCTCCCATTAGATAAAGTGACATTTCAATCCAATTCTCTGACAAACTTAGATGAGGAAACTGTGTAGTTTGAGCACACACAATGACAAGGCACTTGTCTTTTCAGCCTTTGCTATCAGAACAAACACTTGGGTAAATTGAAAACCTCCCCTTCAGGATTTATTTAAATAGAGCAATCAATACTTTATCTCACCATCCTCTAAAAGGCATATAAAATAACACAAACAAGTTTTTTTAAAAAAACTTTTTTTCCTTCTTGTTTAAGGCCACACTAATTGTTCACTGACAGGCTTTTTGCTCATTAACTAGACAATATTCATGTTTACAGTTCTTTAATAAGATAACATGGGATTAACTGACAGCTGATTAATTGCCTTTTTTCTTTTTTTCCCCCTCCATACAGATTAAACCTTATAACCATACCTGCTGCTCAGGTAAAAAAAAAAAATAGAAAAAGGGAACATTTGACTGTGTCTTCTATATCTCCCATCTTCAAGATTTCATTCCTATGGTTTTGTGATTTCAGCCCGATACTGGCGATCCTTCTGCTGATTTCAAAAGTTCTGGTACCTGGTCTCCAGAACTGCTCAACCTCACACCACAGCAGCATTACAATCCTTAAATAGGTTTACACAAGAAAGTAACTGCAATCTACTTAGAATAAGTTCCTGTTTAGTGAAACTATGCCTACAATGAAGTAGAATGAACACTGTATGGAGTTGTAACCCACTCTACTGTGCAAATATTCCTACAAAAGCAAAGATACTTTAAAAAAATCCAAACTCCAGTGAAGGATTTATTTATTTGCAACTTGAGTTACAAGTACAGTAACCAGAATGAAACAGAGCACAATAAATGTGAAGAACTGATTCTCTTTAATTTATAAACATTAGGTTTGACTCTCCTGTCATCCTAGCAGCATAATTTCAGGAAAATTCTTCTCAAGTCAGTTTAGTTACACCAGTGTAAATTAGAAGAGAATTAGATTCATTGTTTGCAACAAAGAGCAGGAAGTAATTACACCACTGTTTCTACACATACTATTATTAAGCCATCAGTAATTCCCAAGTATACTAAGCATTACATGCAATATGGGTAAATGTACATTTTTCATGATTTATTGATAGTGATGGATTAAAAAAAGATATAGCTGCACTGAAATCAATCCATTATCTTTGAATTCTGCTAACTAATATTGCAGAAAAGTTGCTGAAAATATTAGGAACTACAATTTCCTAATTATATGCCATCAATAAGAAAGCATATTTACTAATTAGCCCCTAATGCTGCTATTTCAGTAGTCATCTAAGGTTTTATAGCACAATGTTTAAAATAGGTCTTTTTAGGTCAGAAGAAATGAACTGCAGGTGGTCTCATAAAAGCTCCAATACAGGCAATAGGGATTACCATAATTACTTTGCCACTCTACAAGTAGTTAATGGGATTACACCCTAAGGCTATCCACTTGTTCTCAGTGCCCAGTGCAAATTCTGCAAAAGAATCTGGGTAAGCACAAATGCTTTAATGATACACTTCATAACTTCCTCTACTGCACTGCAAAAGGAACACTAATAAATTAAAACACCCTAAATCAATCTAACTTCTTTAGCTTCCTGTACCTTCTATCTCTGACGCAGTAAGTCTTCCATCTGTCTCCTTCAGGCAGTCTCCATTCTTCCCCATTTTCACTGATGTTAGGTCTGAAAGATGTTTCATCGTTCCTATTGGGGCTCACAGTCCACAGTTTCTTACTTTACTGATTTCCATACATTTCCACTTTTGGCCACCTCTTCTATTTCTTTTTCATGCTTGGACTGAAAAAATCTCATTTTTTCTACCATGCCTTACAACTATATTCTCTTCTCATCCACTCTGTTTCTTTCTTCATCGGTTTGTTCAAATAGCTCATCTAAGTTTTCCTATTACAATTTGTTTTGTCTTGTGAACACCGGCAATTGGCAACGTCCTTCTCCTTGTCTTGTCCTGCTTCTCTCCATTGTCTCTAAAACACATCTGCTAAAACCATGTTCTTGCTTTGAAAATGGTTTCTTCTTCATTATGGCTCTTTTGCATCTTCTATTGGTGACCTATTATTCCCCAGTCTAACTCACAGCCCAAGTTTCTTCCTCACCAATCAACCCCTGTTCATATCACAACCACTGTTCTCACCATATCACCTTTCCATTATTCCACTCTTCATTTTCCTCTTAAATATCCCCCTCAAATTTTATCTGATCAAAAAAACCTCATCATTCTCTACAGCCTAACTGCTAACATTCCCCTATCTCTTCTCAGTGTAAACTCTACTGTCCTCTCTCTATCTCACTTTTTTTTCCTCAAAAACTTCTGCTTTGCTTTTTTAATGTCTTGGCCCGATTCTTTATTTATGCTATTGTGCCTCCTGTCCTTCCCTTTACTGATAGCTTCTCATACACATGCTTTCTATCTTGACTTCAGAAAGATCCAAGGTACGTTTTCAGATTTACCGGTTATTCTACACCTTTCTTACTGTCCTACATATAAGTTGCCTTTAAGGATCACATCTTTAAAAAGTTCTGACAAATCCCATGTAGGTTTATAAATACACAAAATAATTAAAGAGTTAGGAGAAAGAAAAGAGCAAATCCCAGATCAACTAATAACAAAGCCCTTTATCCAGCCTGCCGTCTGCAACTAGAACTGTGCAAGCTCTTATACTGCAATAGGTACTAATTCTTTAATTAGATGACTAACTCATAAGAAATGTTAATTTGTATCTTAACCCAAAAGATAAAACCTAGCACAGAATTTGGAAAGCTGAGCGACAAGAAGGTACTACACAAAAATTAATTTCTTGCTGTTACTCTTAGCCTATAAGATTCTTTAATTCCATTTGAACCACTATAATGGTATCATCCATGATAATCCAAATGCTATCCCCAAAAGAAAAAAAAAGTCCTACCCAACAAATGATACTGTTTGCAAAATCAGAGGATGTATAATAGATCCAAGTGTGTCCTTCCTAATTCCCAGAGGAAAATCCCCACCTGTGGTGGATTTAGTTTTAGGGCTGTCATTCACTCCTTGCCAACTTGGATCAAATTGTTTTCAAAAAGAAAAGAGTCTTTAGCCCTTCATCCCACTTATTGCTTGTTAGGCACAGAATGGACCAAAAAAGGAAGACACATAACCCAGTAATGCGACTCCACAGCTTAGATGCAACAGAATCTGATTTTGTTTCTGGAAGAACAAAAATAAAATTGTGTTCCTCCAAAATACTAGTATAAAACTAAGAGGCAATCAAAATGCAATTTAAATATAATGAATGGTAAATAACTGTTTTAGCTCCCTTTTCTATAATAAGAACGGACAGATCGATGTGCATTCTATTTATATTTGTTTCCTGCTGTTTTTAAAAACACCCCTCATATGTTGGAATGTGTATTTTACATGTTCATTTTACTGTAAATCTTTCATATACCTTGCAGCAAAAATATTTTTAGAATGCAATTACCACAAAGGAGGTGAATAGGCAGTATTATGTTCATAACTTTAAAAAATCTTGTAAAGATATATAGTTATCAACAATGCATTTTGGGAAAATATTCAAAACAACAATCAACAAGTAACTAGTTAACTAGCACTGGCTTCTTCTGTCATCCCCTTGTTACAGCTAGATGGACTCTTAAGATTTACAGATTTAAACAGAATCTATTTGTTGAACCTCTTATCGGCTTTAACAGGCTATGGGTGACATTCTTACTGAATTAGCAATTGTAGGTTCTTATTCCATACACTGAGCATGCAAATACTGATTTTTATTGTGAAATACCTTTGACTATCAGTTCTGCATAGTTTGATACACCAACTCCTCCTTCTGTACGAATCATGCAGCGGTAGTTGCCAGCGTCCCGCTTCGTGGCATTTACCACACTAAAAAGAGCTACAAATCTGCGAAAGTTGAACACTTTAATGTCCTTCAAAGGTGCATCTCTTACATAAATACCCTAAACGGAGAAAAAAAAAAAAAAGAATATTGTTAGTCATATTAAAAAAACACACCGACAACCAATTTTATTTCTTTCAAGTTCCCCAAGAGGGGAGGCAAGATAAAAGCAAAGTCTGTATGTTACTTTTACAGATGTTTATGCTGTGTGAAACTTTACTGCCTTCCCATGTGAGTTAAACCATTCATCATCAGTGGGTGACCACTCATCTGGAACAGCTGCTTTCAACTCTTTATAGATTAACTAATAGAAAGATTTAAGAGCAATGTAACATTTACGTGCTTGGCTTGCTTTACACAAATATTTAAAGTTATTTCTTTTAAAGAAACATGAAACCCAGCATTCTTGGTCTCTGCATCTGCTACTTGGCACACGCATCTTGCACAGAAATGTCAGTGGCTAGTTCTCATATAGAAGCACCTAGACATGGGGTTATCTGCGACTCAGGTGGAAGAGATGAAGCTCAGATTTACCAGGCGAATGACCAACAAGGCTGAAGCTGTCTCCATCTCTCACTTCCTCAGCATGATACTGGGAATTGGGCAGTTTCTGCTTCATTTCAGTGTCTTCCCTCAATTCAACATTTTGCATGGACAGCAAAAGGAAATGACCTACGTAACAGCTGAGGAGCACAAGGCCCAGCATAAGTCCCATGCTACCAGCCTGCTCCCTCAGGTGATCCAATGCATGGCTGGAGGAGTGAAAAAGGGAGGTCAGAGGTGACATCTTGACATGTCCTCTGTCATAAAGATGAAGGCAGAGAGACATGGCTCTCAGATCCTCATCAGAACTCATGCTCCACCTGCCCATGAAATAGGATGTGTGCACTACGAACACTCAAAAACCCTCAGAAAATGTATAATCATTGAATTACTAGAGCTGACTGAAAAAAACCCGTCCAAAATCTAGTGACATTTACTCAAACAATCAAACAAGACACACTTTTCACGGAAACATATATATTTCAACAAACTGAAAGCTACAGCCATTATCAAAACATCAATAGAAACTTGAGAACCCCAACAAGCACCTCCCAAAAGACACTCTTTCCAGGAAGGGATATGAATAGTTTGATACTACGTAATGATACTGGATAGTTTTAGCAGGTTTTTCTGACTTCAGGAGCTTCAGGCAGGGCAAGGAACTACCGAGCACTACCGAGCTTCTATAAGCCATCATGATAGCAGGTGATGCCTGTTTTTCTGCCCCACAGTTTCTAGTGTGTCCAGCAGAATTTAAGACCTATATAGGAAATACTTATCTCATTTCATTATGGCCTTTGCTGGCCACAATATTGAAAGTACCCTAAATAGCAGTTACAACAAGAGAGTTTCATAACAGCCACATAAAATTAAACTCATCCATAAATCACAAAACAAAGACAAAGTTAATCATGCAGTTAATGCCAAAGAAGCAGCATAATTAACAGTAAATAGTGATTCTCATGCACAGTAAGGTAGAGTTATTTCTTCTTCAAAACTAAACGTGGGTGATGCACAGCTTATTTAAAAGAAAAAAATGCTTCTATGATGCCCAAAGAAGCACGTAGTATCATGCTTTAAAAATTACTCAGGCTTAAATTATTACTTGAGAGTTACTTCAGATAATTGTCAGCTCCTTAAAATTCCTAGAATTCTGAACTGCTGATAAACCAGATTCTCTGACATAGCGTAGCAGTTACTGAAAACAAAACCTGGAAAGAAATATTTCCAAATACTATTTCAAAACTACTATTTTTACTGATTTTTCCACTGTAATAGCCTTCAAGTAAGGATGGCTACAGATAGCAGGAAGCAAGCAGAGTGGGTTAATTATGATTTCTGACAATTAATATTTCTTAAAAGCAACATCATTTTTTATCTAAGACAAAAACTGATTAATTCTAATTATCAGAGCTGCTGACCAGTCACAAACCACATGGTTTTAATGTATGTTTCTGCAGCTTTCAGACACTTTAAGGACTGTGCAGAGCCAAGTCATGTGCTTATATTACATCCACCCACGCTAGTTTTTCCTGTTTTCTAGTCGCAACATCGGGAAGCTTTACACAGTCTATTTTATCCTGCCAAGAAATAGGGTAAGTTATTCTCTAGGGAACAAGATACCGCCACATACTGATTAATTCTAGTACCTAAACTAGATCAGCTCATTTAGAGTGTGAACAAGCCCCTCTGCACTCCAGCCTGCACAGCACACCTACCCTTCCACACAGAGCATCTGCATCCAGAATTTACCAGGACTCTCAAGCTATAACACCACCAAAGAACTGTGTAACCATTTTAAGAATTATTTCTTTCTGTTCCCACCCAACAAAGGCTACAGGATGCTGTTACAGGGAGAAAGAGGTGAAGGGAAAGGACTAGGCAATGCCAAGAGGCAGTATAATTTCTGCCTTAACCTGCAGCCTGTGAAGACCATGGAAAGGTGTGATGCATGCACACCTAGCCCACACTGGACTGTCTCCTATCCAACTGGCCGCCTCAGACCTCCAAGTGGCCAGCAGAAATTCTAAACAACACAGCCCGGGCTGTCATATAAACTGCCAGCAGCCCACAAAGGGAACTGCTCAAAAACCCGACCCCATAGGGCGTTATTTCCCATCACTTTTGTGCATATGTAGAGTGAAAATTTGAGCTGATCAATGCATTGCAGCATTTGTAATAAATTATGATTTCACTGGGGTCCCATAATCATCTTCACCTTCTGCTGATTCTCAAATACACTAATCTCACCTGATTTCATTCTTTAACTGCTGTTCTAAACCAGGAAATTTTAGTTTGATCAAATAATTGACTTATATGGCCATGCAACACATGCTATACATTTACACGTCAATAATTTTGACTGAAAAAGGGAGAAGCCAAAGCACATTTCAGAGGCACACATCATTTTGCTCAAACAAACAAGCTACATGAGCCTTAAATGTAGAGCTTGGTTCTACAGAAGATTTTTGTCCCCCACCAAAATCCAGGTGTGAAACAGGTTATTAATAGTGGCTTCAAAATTCATGAAGGAGCTCCAGAATAAAAAGCCTTTACTATTATTATTTACTATTTAAAATTTGCTATTAAAAAAATACTATAAATTTACCATTATTACACCTGTAAAACATATGTGAGATTATTAATAATTATTATCTTGACTGACTTCTCTTAAACATTACAAACTCACAGAGGCAACATGTAGAATATGTAATTATATGTTAGAACAAGAGTCCCACCGAAATCACTGACAGGTCATTTCCTACTAGAACTCAAAGAGGGGGGAAAAAAAACAAAACAAAACAGATTTTTTTCTTTAGTCTCTTTCAGAAAAACATTTTCAAGGAAAACATAGCGCCTGAAACAGACAAAGACTAAGAAAAATAATTGCTTTATTTTCCACAAGAAAAACTACATCTCAAGAGAGCAAGTCTTCCCTCTCTTCGGGGACGACAGCAAATGAGTAGGAGAGCTGCCTAATTGATTTAAGCCTGAGCATAAAGGAATGGTAATGGAGGTAATGAATTTAAAAATTAAAAAAAGTTCAATTCACAGACATTGGAAAAAACAGTAAAAAAGGCTGCACAGAGAAAAAAAAAAAAAAAGGCCACACCTACCTCTCCCAAACTCAATTCAGCAATGGACAAATGGCAAAAGACTGTATTTAGTCTGAAAAAAAACTATTTATAATTTGATATATGAATACAGAATGGCTTCTGTTTTAACTGTACCCATACAGCCATCTTTGCTCCCTTTGTGATTCACATTTTGGTTTTTTTGACTTACTGCACAGTGTCTTCAGCAAGCCACACCAGTAAGACAGTGATCACTTTTATGGGTTAGTTAACTATCCAAAATTTGGAAAAGAATGTCAATAATATTTTCTTTTCCATATTTAACAGGCCTCTCTAAGCACACTGTATGATAAATAAAAAGCTCTCTGCTGATTGTCAATAGCTATTCCATTTAGAACAGGTAGAAATAACTTACATCAAATGAATGTTCATTTATTGAGCATATTAGTACATTCCCCTACAATTCTTTTACAAATACTTAGTTAGTAGCATTCCCAAAAGAAGTTTTTAACACTCACTAATGCAACATTCTACAGTGCCACAAATAAAAAAGATCACTTATGATCTATTGCTTTACTAATTACAGTCATCAAAACCTTAATCTCAGTTTTTTTTAAGACAGATTCTGAAATTTACCTTGCAAACTCCCACTTTTTATGTGGAAACCTGAGTCTTCACAAATACATCAGATCTTATTGAAAATTAAACAAAAAAATGACAAGTCTGTAATTTACTAATCCCATTCCAGAAAAAGAGTATAAAATTCATGATTTACTATGCAACACTACAGTACTCTATATTAAAAACCCCTAAACAGGTTGCTGGAGCACATTTGTAATATCCTACTGTTTTCTGGGTGGCGTTTATTTGTTTGTTTTAAATACAATTCAAAGATAAATACTGTTCTTTTTACTGTTTTACTTTAGCCCTGGTTTGTCATGTGAAAGACTTAATTGCAGATTAAGCCTGATAGCTTTCCCTGATTCTTCAACTGGTAGAACTGTGTGAACAGGACACTTAATTTTTTTGGAAAGAGGAAACTGCCATAATCATTTAATGCTAGACCTGCTTGGACTACAAAGGCCACGTCCCCAGGGCAGAGCTATCACACCTTCTTACTGCAGAAGAATTCTGAGCTCAAAACAAAGATTGCAAGACACTGTGATCCGAAAATTAAAATAACAGATTCCACTGGCTGATGAGCAACTGTATGTTTTCAAATACTCAGAGAAAGCTTTTTAAAAAAATAAATACACATATTTAAAAATGCTGTTTAAGCCAACTAATGAAAATATGTAACTGGTAAGTCACTTGTAAGAATAAATTTCCCATTAAACAACAAATTATTTAATATATAGGGATATAAAAAATAATTTAACCTCAGGATATACACAGCTTGAAAATCCATATTCCTACTACTAGCATATTAAAATGCATACAGAGA